TTTAAAAATCCATAATTTTTTTATATTAAAATGTGAAAATACATAACTTCTCCCAACCAAATGCACCCTTAGTTTTGCTAACTTTTTTTTTAGTATATTTGATAATAAAGAGTTATACAATCTCTTTTTTTTAAAAATTTTTTTTTTATCTAACTCAAATTTTTAATTTTTAATTTTTAATTTTTAATTATTAAATCAGCTCTTACGTAACACTACCCTTGGTTGACGAATTCCAAAAGCAACGAGCCAAAGGCAACAAAACAAATGATGCAAGATTGAATATCTGCCCACTCACATTGCACGAGTGGATGATTTTCAGAAGGGTTCTTTGACTTTGGTAAATATACAACAAATAAATCCTCAGCTCGGTCATTGTTGAAATTCGCCTTCAACGAATACACATATGGACTAATCTCAATTAATGGACAAAATGAACATCACAACTCACAACCCCTCCATTATTGAAAATTAACTTCAAAAATGAATGCCACAGAAAAATTCAATCCGAGCGGGTTCGTCTTCATCATCAAATTAATATTTTGATGGATCCATCTTTCTTCCCTCCAGTAAGTTGTTGATGGGATGACCTTCTAGAATATACTAGCATGTAAGGATGTTTATATATATTAACTCTTAGTATTCAAAAATGATTTTAGATCTCGATTAATTTTAAATCGAGTAATATCAGACTTTTACTTAGACAAACATATCATTAGTATGTAAGTGTATTATTAAATCATACAAAGGAAATTGATAAAAAGTGAATTTGCAATTCATTCTGGAGCACTGGTTGCTGCCCATAGATGTAGCCTCCATGGTTGAAAAAAATAATTGTTAATCTACTTCTCGTGAACTAGGGGGCTGTAAACAGGGTACCACATGTTGCGAGTGACATATTCAACCGTCTCATCCTGCATCAAAAATTATATATTTACAACCCAAATATTCATAGATCATCAAATCTGACAAACATAATTTTAAAATAAATAAAAAAATCGAGAACTCACAAATGGCAATTAAAAGGTTCCATTTCTTCTTAAATCAGACTGGTGGGGGTGCTTAATTTGTTATTTTTTGGGGAAAAAAAAAACATTTGCTGTATTCTTCAATTTTGTTTCGCTGTATTTCTCAACATCACCTTGGAGGACTT